CCCTTCCCTCACCCTCTCCCTCTCCTTCTTCCTTCTTCTTCCCTCTCTCTCGTTCCCTTCCCCTGTTTCATCATCACCACTGCAACTCATGCAATAGCGGATTCAAACTCATCAGAAGCTCCTCCTTGTTTTTCTTTTATTTTTTCTTCCTCTCCCTCTCTTTCTCCCGATTCCATTTTTCCTCTCCCCCTCATTCTCTCTCTATCCCTTCTCATGTATCTGACAGTAGATACAGAGAGGCTGCCGATGGTGTTTCCTTGGCGACAGCAGAAAATGAAAACCTGTGTGGCATTTCCCTTTGCTCCGACGACAACAGAAAATAGAGAAGCTGCTCCGGCGACAACTGAAAGCCCTCTCGAGGGATATGCAACTTGAAGATCTACAACTCGTTAGCAAAAATCAAAGATTTGTGATTTGATGATGACATCTATGCTTATCTAAGATTGGGTAAAGACAATCTGTCTTTCTTGTAAGGTATAAAGGAGCCCGTTCCATTACTGTCAAAGCATTGAAGAAGATGAATAGTTCCCCGGCAAGGTCATTTCAACCCGATTCAAAGAGGAAGAGAGAGGGAGAGAGAAAATTAGCTAAGGATAAAATGGATATTTCCATACCTTTATGATTTAACAGCTATGGTAATTGTTCAAAACAGTAAGAGTATCGTAAGATAATAGTTAAACTATAGTTAGTCAATTAACTAATCAGTATGATTAGGGATAGTTTAAGAAATTTGTCTTAAGTATTAAAGTTTTGCAACATATCAACTAATAAATATTGTATCAGTGGATCACCTAAAGACTTGCTTATAATTTCTCAACTGATACGTTAAACTAAATTCAATGAATGTGCTAGCTTTGATGATTGACAAGGACAATGACTAAGACCATTGTTTAAGACATTTACTTGTTGGAATGTAGATTCCTACATTGGAAAAAATGAGAGTTATAAAGGACTTATAAACAAAGATTGGATTATAGCATAATGACTTAAAATTTTTTCTTAAAGATAGTATCCCAATCCAATTCTTCTGTGCAAATCCTACGAGCATGTACTATTGAGAGAGAAAGTGGAAGATAGGAGAGACAATGGAAAGGAGTTTGTTGTAAGAGGGTGTGGTTGTCGATAGCAGTGGTGGCATTGCAGTATTAGGTGGTGCTCGATATAGTCTAATGGTAGGTAGTGGCATTGCAATAATTAAATGAAATTATAGGAAACAGGGGTGAATTAAATGGAAAGAAGAAGAAGAAGGCGGCATGCTAATCCTTCAACTTGTGTAACCCAAAAGACTAGACTATACACAATATATATATATATATATATATATATATAATAAGTTTGAGAATGGTTAAGGGTAACTCCAACTCCCATGAATTTGAAATAATTAAAAGCTTCCACATGGCATGGAAAAATATGACTGGAGGTGCCCTCAAGTCTCTTCAACTTGTAAAAAAAAAAAAAAAAAAAAAATCACTTATCTTTTATGGGTGCTATTGATCATCTTATATGCATGTGATCAATCTTTTTATATTTATTTTTTCTCATTTTATAACCTATTAGAGCTATTCTTAAGTTTCTTCAAATAATTTCATTTATGATCTTATACTTTATAGGTTTTTGCATTCATCCATCTTAACATATTGCATCTCTTCCACACTCATGTTTTAGATATGTTTTTTTAATCCCCAAAACCTATTCCATACAACTTAGTCTAATCTATTACTATCTCATAGAAGGTTTTTTTAGAGATTCTTTAATTTTGCTAGTTGTAGTTTCTCACTCAAAGGCTCTACTGTATATTGGGAACGAATTTGTCAGTAATCCAACATTAAACTTAGTAAAAATAAGTGGGGACAAATGATGTTTTAAAGACAATATCTTTATATATACCTTATAGCTTCTCCTCCAAATTTTCTTGACCCCATTTCCTAACATTTAATCAATGATCCAAACCCCTAAAGTCTAATCTCTAATGAAATTAAATCTCAATATGGTTATGAGATAAGTTCTCAAAGGTCAACAAAATTTGCTAATTGAGAATCGAGACCTTCTAATAAGTTTAAGTATAGAATCCACTAACCAAACCATAGAGAGCCTTCTCGTGGATTTGATCATATGCCTTTTTTTAGTGGCTAGCCTTAAACCTGGCAATTGGGTTGGATGGGTCGAGTTCATGTTGGGTCAATGTAATTCGGGTTGATTTTGGGTCAGGATGGCTTTTGGGTTAGTCATCGAATGCTAGACCCTAACCCTAACTGTTTGGGTTAGGGTTGACCCATGGGTCAATTTGGGTCATCCCTAAAAATAATTCAAAATAAAAAAATAAAGAAAAATCTAGAAAAAAAAACAAAATTAAAGAAATTAACATTAAAATTCTAAAAATAAAATAAAAAATTGGAACATTCAACAATTCAAAGACTAAATGATAAAATGTAAAGACTAAATAGTAAAGATTAAAGAGTAGAAATTTTTAATAATACATAAATAGTCCCAATTAGACCTGACAATCAAATCAACGAGTTGATACAGGACCCAACCCAACCAAATTTTTTCAAGTCGGGTTGAGTCATTCTCACGGTCAGATCACTAAATATGAAACCCTAACCCTGTTTTTTCATAATGGATTATTAGATCGGATTTGCTGTTGGAGCAACTTTTTTGCCGAGTATAACTAGCCTCAACCCAAGCCAAATTAACCAAAGTTGCACACCCACTACAACCTCTAGGTGCTTGGTGGTGGCTCCGTGTAATTTTGTCAAGATCAGAGGTTGTTTCTTTGTTGAGCATCAGAATTGTAGAAACGCGTATCACGTTGCTGATGGATAAAGTGGGAAAATACTTTATTATCCGGAAAAGCACTAAAGGTTTTTTTATTGTCTTCACTTTTAATTTAAAAAGGGTTTTTAATGATATAAACCATAATAATAATGTAGACTAAAAAAGTAAAGCTAGAACAAATAAGGACCATCCAGAAGTAAGAAAAGGGAAAAGAGAAACTGGCCATCAAAATCACGTGGAAAATGATCTTCCCCAGCCCCCGAAGGATACTCCCCCACGTCTCCTTTCTAGCTTCTTAATGTAGCTTGTGGATGGAGTCATTAGTCATGCCTTATGGCAATTTCTATCCTACCAATGGATTGTCGGGGCGGTTTTTTTTCTTTTTTTTGAAAAATGGGTTTTGAGATTAAAATTGACATTGTTAAAAATCATTTAAATTATATGTATTAAGTGTTGAAATTACTAATACTTTAAATTTTATATAAATAATAAATAATTTATATATTTCTTATATGCTTTAATTAAATGACAAAAATTTGAATTTTGTTTATATTATTTTACTAATTTATTATGTATATATAATTGAAAACAATAATAAATTAAAAATGGATTCAGGACTCGTTTCACATATCAATTTACTTCCACCCTCAAATACGTATAGCATGGGCGGGGGGAGGATTTTGTATTTTTATATACAGAGAGTTTTTGGATTCTAAAAAAATGGAACCACCCACCAATTCCAACTGTTGGCGTCACGAGTTTCCAAATTCCAACTTTCAACCGGTTGGCTACCCTAGATTTTTTATGGCCGAAAGACTCAACAGAATTCAGCGGAAGCGATCGCGATTGGAAGTGCAGCACGTGCTCAATATTTTACCCTCATTCCTCAACGTGTTGATTGTTTAAGGGCCAATTTTGAAAAGTTAATCTATTGTTGGCCAATTAGAGAGGAGTTCGGATCTGCTATCTATTCCTACCAAGATTCAAGATTCAAAGTATGAATATGTATCGTGTGGATGGTTTTTTGATATATTCTTTCAGAGATTATATCAAGTCAGATCATGGTTTAGAAGATAGTCGGGTTTTAAATTGATCTCTCTGAATCGGATTAAAAAAAAATATTGATAAAAGTTAATATACCCTACCTTAATTTTTACATTTTTACTTACAATAACTATACATCACGAATATCTCTTATAATGATGATGGTACTTTATGGGTATGGACGTGGGTAGCATATCTCGAGTTATTAGAGGACTCGCATCACATCTTGTCCACTATTGTCCAATCGAAATGGTGTGTGGTTGCGACTTGCGAAGCCTCGTGCGTTATTGTTTGGCGTGTAGGTGTAGGTGACTCATCCTTTTCGACCTTTCCGTGGCTGGCCGCAAGTCGGCAGTCGGCACATAAACAACCAAACCGTAACTAACGACAAAACAGACGCCGTTAACGCCAACTTGCAAAAACGCCAGTCTGGTGAGAGATTCACTCTCATCTAGACCTAGACCTGTTTATGGGGCAGGTAGCCCAATGGTTTGGTTCGGCTCGGTCCGCAATTTGGTCAGGTCTGGTCATGTAATTAGGTTTGTGGGTCTAATACAGTAAGTCTGATTATATTATTATTTTATAAATAATATAATATTTATCCTTTTCTTTATAATTTCTTTTTCTCTTTCTCTCTATTCAGCAGTAATAACAGTATAGGCTAAATTTCGGGCTCAGGCCCAGGCCTAGGCTTTAACTTTTTATGAGAGTCGGGTTCAGGCCCAATTTATAAACCCAATGGTCGAACCGGGCTCGAGCTCGGGCCTTAGAAAGCCCGGTCCGGCCCATGAACAAGTTTGCTCTCATCGTCTAATGAAGCTGAAGCCATATGGCCCATATCCAATGTATTGGATTGGGCACATGATCCAACCAAATTAACTTTGCTGTGTATGGGGGGCCCAACCCATGCTCGAACCTGGAAGTATCCTGATCCTGATGGTGACGGTGACGATCCTGCTTTGAACCAAATAGGAAATATATGGTCATGTTGGGTGCCATGTGGCTTGTAGCTGTAGCAAATTAGCAATGAGCAGTACAACACCGAAAGGGAGTAGGTCCTTTTCCAATTTAATGCCTGTTTCCAGCTAATTTCAGCTCGTGTTTTTTTGCAGACAGCAGACACAGATTACTTCTTCCACCTCAAAAAACACGTGTATGAAAATGGATTCTACAATAGATTAATTAGTTGGAATGACCGAGATCCGTTGAATGTGAGCTATCAACCAAAGCAGAGGAGTCCCATAAATTCATTCTCTCACTTCTGCACACAACAAGCAGCAAAAATCAACAATTTCCATCACTCTGACTCTCTCTCCGTCAATTTCGTTTTTTCTTGGATTTGATCGAGAAACATGTCCAGCTCTGCGGATTCGTCAGAAACTCGCAGGTTTCCCGGCGGGAAGACTGTCAAAACGCCAGAGAAGTCCAACTTCTCCCAAACCTGTTCTCTCTTGAGCCAGTACCTTAAAGAGAAAGGCAATTTTGGAGATCTGAGCCTTGGCATGAATTGCAGTCTTCAAGGGAAAGGTATGATGATGGTTTTCGTATTCTCTATCTCCTCTATTTCACCTGGAATAGGCAGTTGTCCTCAGAAGATTTCTTTGAAATATTTGACAACCATCGATCGGTGCTCCTTCTTGTCACAATTAATTGATCTCTTACTCCCTGTGACCATTTCTTCGTCTTCCTTTTCCTGATATTTCACAGTTGAATCTATTGGTAAATCGTGTTGATTATAGAGTTGTAAACTAGATCTGCATCTTCTACTTTAAACATGGATTTAATTTACAGTTTTCTCCTGGTTATTCCATAAATTGCTTTTTTCTAGACATTGTTTTTTATGTTTTTCCTCCACATTTGTGAGTTGTGATTTTCTTTCAGACTCGTGAGTAGAGATAATTGTTGATTATTACGTTTTTCTTCGTTGACAATTGTTTTCTTTATCAGATTGGGCTCCTAAGTTTTGCCGCTAAATAAATTATTCCTCTATTTAGAATTTCTTCCAAAATGCCTTAAACATCTCCCTCTCTAGATTTCCTTGTTTTTCCTCTTCTTCTTCTTCTTCTTCTTCTTCTTCTTCTTCTTTTCTCTGAAACGGAATATAATAATCAAACTTCATCTTGACAACAGGAAAACCCGAAACTCCTTCCCAATCAACATCGACTACGATTATGACTTTTTTACCGAGCATGGGAACGTCATCGTCTACAGAGCAAAATGCATCATCTCGAAACGTGAAGTCCATGGATTTATTTCCTCAACATGCTGGTTTTGGGCCATCCAATCCCACGAAAAACGTAACGAAGACAGCCGATTTCAGGTGCTTTTCCTTTTCTGCTTTTTATTTCTCTAGTAAGCAAAACATACATGGTGCCTCGGTTTCTTTCTGAATTTTGTTGATGATAATAAAATTAACGAATAAAGAACTAAAGGACGATTCGGTACTATCGGTATGTTTGAACAAATTAAAATAATCAAGGGATAGATTAAAAAAAAATGATGCCAAATGCCATGCACGTCTGCAGAAAAAGGTCTAAGTTGAGAGCCAATTGAATTTTGTTCTTTCTTTGATTTTAATTATCTAAATTAATTAGTGATTGTGAAATCAGGGCACCGGCGATAAAGGAGCCCCAGACAGCCCAGATGACGATATTTTACGCTGGAAAAGTACATGTTTTTGATGATTTCCCGGCAGACAAGGCAAGGGAAATCATGCTTCTAGCTAGTAGAAGCAGTACCCAGAATTCCGGTAGCTTCACTTCTACCTCCGGCAACGAGCAACAAAATTTCGGTATACTTGCATCTTCCGCTTCGAATTTCCCTCCTATCTCAAGCAACAACAATTCAACCGAAGAGAGACTCCATCCATCTGCTCAAACCAGTGTTTCAGGTATATATCGGGATCCGTTGCTCTTTTCTTCCTGCACGCTTCCCCTTTAAATTTCTGATCTTGAAGCTCTTCAGATTATTTATTCGTTTATTTTTTTTTTCACGCTTCAGATCTGCCAATTGCAAGGAAAGTTTCGCTTCGCCGGTTCCTGGAAAAGAGAAAAGACAGGTAATTAATGCTCGTGCAAACTCAACTGGGCTTTAAATTAAACCATTTCTAGCTACGACCTGTTGGACATCTGTTTTCTGGTTTTGCTTCTTTTGAAGAGTCCATGTCCATTGATCAAATCGTATGTTTTGTTTTGTCCTTCATTCATAAAAAAGAAAACTCACCCTTCTTTTTCTGCCCAAAAATTTACAGGATTAGTTCAAAAGCACCCTACTCGGTAGGCTATTCCAGTTCCACACCGGCGGGTGAGAGAGAAACTCCTTTCAGATCCAAACCGATTGAAAGCAAGACATGGCTCGGCTTGGCTTCACATTATTCGCAGCAATTGGGATTCCAATTATCGTAAGGACTTTTAGCCTTATTGACTCATCGGCCGACTATTGCTACTCGGGTCTCGGGCTGGGTTCGGCCGGCGACATAGTGTTTTAACCGCCGCCGGGCAGCGGTGGCGGGTGGTAGCGGGCGACGGCGGACAGCGACGCTGAGGAAGAAATGGCTTATTGATATTATTTTTAAAAAGTTAACTTATTTTTGAAAATTTTAAAATATTATTATTAATACTAAATCCCAAAAGGTGCTCTTATATGCTATTATCTCAATATTAAATTATATTATTGGTTGGAGCGTGAGTCCCGCTCTCTCACCCACCATTATTCCATCTCTTGTATTCAATTCTCCCATCTCAAATCCAATACAGTGGAAATAAAAACGTGGTATTGAAACTTGAAATGTTTCATGGTTTCATCAATAGTGCTTGACATTGATGCCTTTATTCGTTGCTTATAATTCTTTACTGCCATAAATTGCATAAATAATTAAATTAAGGTATTTTTCATTTACAAGTTGCCACCTCAAAGGGGAATTTGCTTCAGGGAGTGCGGATTAATTATATTTGATAACTATGTTAATAGTTGTTTGATCAATATAAATGCCCCACTTCAGCATGCCATGTGAGTGATTTGAGTAGTTTGGAGACATATAGGATATAAAGTGGATATTTGCCTTGATTTTCATTTAGATGATAAAAGTTAAATCTAAATAAGGTGTATAATATATGATATTTTATATATAATATATAATTAATATATATTCTTACACTATTATATTAAATTGGAAAGATTGTATTTACAAATGTTTCAAGGGTACTACGTCAATGGGTTTAATTTGGCATAGTTTAACCTCAACCTAAAACCATCGTAGAACCCATTCAAGATTAGTAGGTTTACCACTTATTCCCACCTAAGCTTAATCAAATATATAGGGATATGTATAAGGTCATATCTTGGGTCACTTCTTCTTCTTCTCATTAATTCATTATTATTATTATTATTATTATTATTATTATTATAAAAGACTTATTTCATTGATGAAGTGGTAAAAATGTCCTACATGTGGTAAATGATTTCGTAGTTGATCACAAGATAATTAAGATTTTAGAAGAGATTCAAGGATGTGGTACGACTCCTCTTATACAAGATGAATGAGACACTTAGGTGGAATTTGGTGAAATTTAGACGGTGTCTACAGTTTTAAAAACTTGCTTTCTAAACTTTGACCAGGTTTGGGACGACATTATCTAAACACTACGCCTGAGCAAATAATTAAGATTTGAAACGTTTAGTCATTGGCCAAGCAGAAAACGCGGTTAGAGGCCTTTCACAGTTATCAAATGCCATAAATTTTTAAATACAAAATTATTAAATTTTGAAATATGCATGGGCTGCCATAGATTCCAATTTTGATAAAAGAAAGAACTTCAATAGCCCAAAACCCGATATTATTGGATTTTGGGATATTATCGGCTTGGCTTAATGGGTAATTATATGGAATTAAAAAAAATATCAAAAAACTAGAAAATTATAAAGGGGAATTTTCTTTTCTAATGTTTAGTCAAGTGGCACCACTTCCCCCACTTTCTCCTAAATTTTCTCTAATTCCTATTTATCTCCTAAATTATTTCAAACTTCTATTTATCTCTTAAATTATCTCTGATTTAGTAGAGAGATTCTCTCCTAAACTATCTCTAATTTCAATTTATCATCTTCCCCACTTTTTATCTATATCTATCTAAAGAAAGTTTCAATTAAAAATTTTCAAAATTATTTAAATATTTTAACAAAATTATATACGTATTTATTCAAAACACAAAATTAATTATAATGGATTTAATATTATTCATATTATTGATAATTCTATATTTTTACAAAATTCATCATTAAATTATGTAGCAACAATATAAATTATAATCTTATAATTATTCAATTTAAATGTTATTCAAATAATAAAAATTTAACATTAAAAATAAAGCATTATTTAAATATTTCAATAAATAAATATCTTAAATAACAAAACATTAAAATAGATACATAATTATAAAAAATATTTCATATCACGTAATAACATTAAAATAAATAAAATTCAAATAATGAAAATTTTTAAATATTTTACATGTTATTTAAATATTTAAATAACAAAATATTTAACATGACTAGATTTTAAATAGTTAAAATAACAAAATTATGTAATAAATTTAAGAAATTTCTTAAAAATAGAAAAATAATTATAATATATTTCATAATATTCGTATTAATAATAATTTAATATTTTACAAAATTAATAATGAATTATGTAATAATAGTACTAATTATAATTTTACAGATTATTAAATTCCATAAAGAATTAATATTTTAAAATTTTAAATAGCAATATTGTTTAAATAACTAAGTAATATTGTAAATAACTAATTTCACTTATATCAATTAATAATTATAGAAAATAACTTTCAAAAAATTAATACTTTTTAGTAATAATTTTTCAATAGTAGTGTATATTCATTATCTATTTATATATACTAAAATTAATATTATTTTATTTTCAGACATTATTTATTGTATTTTTTTTATAACTATGTTTTCAATAATTATTTATAAATCTATTTTTGTTTTTTTATTTACAAGAAATTTGTCAATTATTATTGGAGATTAAACAACTATTATTTAAATTTCGAAATTTAATTTATCGTATTTATTATATTTTTGTTATAAATTTATTTTTAGTAATTATATATTTTTATAATTTATAGATTAATATTTATTAGAGATTAAGCTATTTTTTGAGATTACACTATTTATTGACTACTTTAATATATTTTCAATATTTGTTGTATTTTTGTAATTATTCTATTTTTATTAGATATCTATTATATTTTCATTGTAAATTTATTTTCAATGATTGTGCACTTTTGCTATAAATTTTCAACAACTATTAGATATTAAACTATTATTATTTATTAGAAATTAGACTATTAATTTAGTTGAAATTAAAAACGTTCAAGGATTGGTTCAATTCAGTTGTTGGTTGTTTCGGCAACCAAATTGACATAGTCAAATCGGATGGATTGGCATCTCTTGGACTAACTTTTGGGTCCAAGTCTATATTCTCACACTTATCAGTTGGCATCTCTTGGACTGGTTTTGGGTTGAATCTGTCCAAATCAAAATCAATTTGGATGGATTAGATGGACCAATAAGACATTGAATTTGACCAGTTCAGACTTAATGGACCAAAGTATTTATTGGATTGGGTTGGATTGAACCAAAATCTGGTCCATTGATCGAAGATAATAAAAATACAGGTGTCAATGATGAAGCTTCAGTGTTGGAACCAATCTAAATTAAAATCAATTTAAATATATTGAATGATTCAGACATTGAATTGGACCGCTCCAAACTGGTCCAAAATATTCATCGGATTGGATTAGACCCAGTCCATCTAATCCAGCCTAATTGACACCCCTAATTATCAGCCTAAGATTTTACAATTGCAATAAATAATGCCCCCTATATGTATGTGGAACAACATATAACAACATTTTTACTTATACAAACGATGCGCAATCAAATTACACTGATTATTTTCAACTTGGCTTTGAAATTCCAAACTTGAGCCTCAGTTTTGTATTCAGGCCCAAACCCGGTGCCCAAAATAAGTCATAGGCCCAAAAACCCAGCTTGGGCCTGTACCCGGCCTTGTCCATTATCACTACTAGTTTGGATAGATCTCCATCCCCAAAGACCGACCCCACCAATACATCATGTCCGAGACTAGAGTGCAACTTGCTAATTTGTCAGATTTTCAATCTATCCAAATTTTTAACTTGAATCTAATCTAGTAGAAATTTTTTAAGTCAAACAACCCGATTTACAGCCCTAGTGGCGAGAGAGCTGGGGGATTAAGGCTCAGTTTTGGAAAGACTACAAATACAAATATGTACAGTATAAATACATACAAAATACAAGATTTTGTATTCTACATATTTGTATTTATACTCCTTCCAAACTGAGCCTAGGAGTTATAATATATAAAGGTCAAGTCTTAATATTTGAATCAACATCTCTATACAATACAAGATGGTAACTAAAGTAAAATTATTAGTAAGGGATGTCAAAGTTGAATTAAGGTGCCAGCTAGTTGGTAAGTCTCTAATGTCTAAGAAGACTTGGGATTGGGTTTTGGAGTTTGGGGAGAGTTTCTATGTAGCCTATTTGTATTAAAAAAAGGGTTCGATTATCATATGGAAAAGATATGATATCTGATAATTTTTTTATCAATCAACTAGAATCATAAACGTGGTAGCCAATCAGGTGTTATTTATCAAAATTCATGGGTAGGTTTTGATTGGTCAAAACTTTTCACATACCATATCTTTTCCGCATCATAGATTTTCCCTAAAAAAAATTAAAGTGGATCAAAATCAGGAGACCGGATTTGGTCGTCACAAAATTTGTTCTTACACCATCCTTGTAACACTTATATCTCTCAGTGGAACAGCTCTTTACTTTTTTTTTCTCATTTATAGGGAGAGTTACTCCTCCTATGTAGTCAATTTGCCTAAAAAATTTGAAAGTTGATCAAAACCAGGAGACCGGATTCAATCCTTATAAAATTTGTTCTCACACCATCCTCACAACACTTTACAGCCCTGCATTTGGAACATCTTTTTTTACTTATTTTTTTCATTTATGGAGAGATGTTCCTCATGCACGGCTGCAAAAGAGTGTAAGCACGATGTGGTCACAATTTTGTGAGGATTGAATCTGAACTCAAAAACCAGTTGCAAATTAAGATGTCATTTGGCAAGTGTTTTTAGAAAGATCTTCCAACAGCTCATATGGTCAAAAGACGTATTAAGCTTTTAAATTCTTGTTTTTAAAGACAAAGACCGTTTGGAAAATGGTTTGATGTATCATGCTCTTAAAAATACATTTAGAGGTTGTTTATCACACAGAATGACCACAAAACTTCATTTGAAGCTTCCTAAAATTTAACATTTGTGATATTTTCAAGTCTTTCCATGCACGCATCTTCTGTTTTTATCAGTTTTTTGTTATCATATAGAAAAAGATAGATTTTTGGTCTTAGGATTAGAGTGGGAAACCCAAATGTCATTTGGTTTCACTCATACAACGGAAAATTCTCTCATCTACATTTCAGATTTCAAATTTCCCCCACCCTTCTTCTTTCCTTTGCACTCTTAACACTACTCTAATTGATAGCATGAATAGCTCAAATGGCATGGTCTGTTTGAAGCAATCACAATAAAATCAAATTTGAAAATGCCATAGTTCATCCCATTAATCCAGCGAGCATCAAAATTCCGATACAGATTTTGAGCTGGAGTTATATCTTTTGGGGTCCTTACCTAGAGGTGTAAATCGGGCCGGCACGACCCATATATATTATTTATAT